CAGCCCCCGTCACCACCTACGGCCTAACCTGACTGGGCCAGGGTGGACAGGGCACAGTGGTGCACACCTGAAATCCCTGCATTCTGAGAGGCTGAGGCAGGACGATCAAAGTGTGAACCCAGTCTGGGCAACTTAGTGACTTAGAAAGACCCTGTCTCTAAAGAATTAAAAAGGGTGGAGTGGGGGGTCCAGAGGATGTAGTTCAGTGTGAAGATCTGAGGGTCCATCTCCAACACTTTAAAAAACTGGGTCAGATTGGAAGCCACTGTATTTAGCAGAAGATTTTGATTTCTTCTCGGAGAAAGGGACCTATTTATGTTCAGAGCAGAAAAACATTAGCATAGCTAACATGTGTGCGTGTGTCAGGCGCTATGCTCGTCACGGCCTTCAGCAAGGGCCCTCTGCTCATGCCTTGACCCACCGGCCGGGCAGGCTCTGGGCCTGCTTCTCTGCTTAGCACATGTGTGACTTGGGGCAAGCTGGCCACCTTTTCTACCTTGCAATTGGGTCGGGGGAGCTTCACACTGAGCTTCGTCCCTGGCCTTTTTTTAAAACAGGGTTTCACTAAGCCACTGAGTTGCCCAAAGCTGGGCTGGAACTTGCGATGCTCCTGCCTCAGCCTCCCGGAGTGGTAGGGTTACAAGTGTGTGCGCCATCACCCCTGGCCTCACACACGCTAACCCACAAAATGGAGATGATAATCTTCCCACTGTACAGAGCTTTTCCAAGAGTGGAGTGAGAAACACCGAGCGCAGAGCTGAGCGCTGTGCCTGGCCGGGCCCCGCAGAGTCGGTGCCTCCTCTGCTGCAGGCTGGGGGAGCCGGCTGTGCCCTTTCAGCGGGGTCTCCACTGCGGCCCTCTTCGGCAGGTCTCAGCAGGTCCCAAGCGTCGGACCAAACAAACAGCGAGCGCCCTGTCCTCAAAGCCCCATGCTTCCAGGTGGTTGGCGGCGGCCCCAAGGCCTTGGGAGGAGTGAAGCCGGTCAGTCGCCCCTGGGAAACTAGAATTCTCCTGTAAAGGCCCTGGGGTCACTGAGCTGCAGCCAGGAAACCGGGGAGCTGGCCAAAGTGGCTGGCAGGCAGTTGGCAGGTCAGCTCAGGTGCCCCAGCGGAGGAACCCCGATACCAGACTCGTATTGTCAGGGTGTCACCTGAGGGAGACCAGGCAGCCCTGCTGCGAGGGCGGGGCTGTGGCCAGGGCTAGGGACGCCTTTGAAGCCCTGCAAGCCCAGCCACTTGCCATCACGGCCCGCAGGCTGCCTGGCCCTGGTCTGCCTGGGAGCCCAGGAGGGGCAGAGCCTCCCCTAACCACGGGGCGGGGGAGGGGCTGCCTTTTACAAGGTGACTTTTATTTAACTACCACTTCCAGTTCATGAGATGGAGTTTTAATGACCCTTAAAAAAGCAAAGCTATACTCAAGCCACCCCCAACTCCACCCCAGGCCCATCAGACTCATGAAGACATTCTTGTTAGACTGAGTACTCATGGCCAATTCAACAGGAATGAAGAAAATCGTGCTGGGTGTGGTAGCACATGCCTATAATCCCAGCTCTGGGGAGGCTGAGGCAGGAGGATTACTGAGAGTTCAAGAACAGCCTAGGCTACAAAGTGAGCTCAAGGCCAGCCTGAACTATATAGGAAGACCCTGTCTCAAAAAAAAAAAGACCAAAAAAAAGAGAAAAAAAAAAGAAAAAAAGAAAATCTATTTCTTACATTTTCTTAAAAAATATTTATAAAAAAACTTTTGGAAATTTACAAGTTTGATCAGTATTAGCTAATTTATTTATTTCTTCTCTCTCTCTCTCTCTCTCTCTCTCTCTCTCTTTCTTTTTTTTTTTTTTTTTTTTTGAGACAGGGTCTCACTAAGTCACCTAAGTTGCTCAGACTGTGTTTAAACTTTGGATCCTTCTGCCTCAGCCTCCCAGAGTGCTGGGATTGCAGGCGTGTGCCACCACTTCCAGCAGTGTTAACTAATTTTGTCATCAGGAAAAAAAAGAAGAAAGAAAGAAAGGAAACAAAACTTTCATTTTCTGGAAGTTTCTTCTGCCCACAGGGCTTCCTTCACACCTTCCTTGACTCCCCACCCCAGAATGGCCCGGACAGACCGCTTTCCTCAGTCGACCTGGTAGTGAGCAAGGCGTGCAGTGAGGGCCCCTTCAAACCAAGTCCGAGCGAGGACCCAGCCCCGGGCGCCAGGGGCCCGCCATCTCCAGTCTGCGCCCCTCCACTGTACCCTTCTGGGCCCAAAGCTGCTCCTGAGAAACACAGCCTCCCCTGCAGGTGCTCACACACACTCTGTGGCTCTGGCTGGGGACCGGGCCCCTCCCAAAGGGCAGGAGGACAGCCTCGGAGTGCAGGGCCTCTGCTGAGCCTGAGATCAGCGGGGGGCAGGGAGGGGGCATGGCCCCCGGTCCAAATCCCCACACCAGTGCACAGCCTGCCAAACTGCACCCAGACATGACAGGGGATTGCGAAAATGCACCGCAGACAATGTAGCTAATGGACCGGGTCCCCTGCAAAGGCGCTCAGGCCGCGGCAGGAAGGGACTGGGGATATCCGACTGGAGCCGCGCACCCTGAAAGGAATGGCTGCTTCTGAGCACGGATCTGCTTCCTCCGTTCATCCCCTTCTGCAAAGGCATGGAGGGCGAGGACAAGGAAGAAGAAAGGCTGCGCTCTGGCTGTGTCCCGAGAATAGCCTGTAAGCAATTCAGGCAGAATTTCTTTACACAATGGATGAGAGAACTACAGACCAGGCTGCCAAAATCAGCAGGACAAGCAAGTCCTGTGTATTCAGCTCGAGAGGAGCCTGGACACATTTCAGAAAGCGCAGAGAATCCAGAGACGGAGGCGCTGACTCTAGTCCGGGACTGACAATCAGAAAATACAAGTTAATTTGTATTTCACAAGATAGCACTAAGGACAGATGGGAGTCGGGCGTACCCTGACCCGGCTGGAACCTTACGGACCACTCTTACGACAGACCTTTCAAACACCACTTTTCAAGTTCTGACCTTTCCTAATAAAGGATACGCTCAAAAAAAAAAAAAACAAAAACAAACAAACAACCCAGTGGCATCATGGTATTTTTTTCCCTCTCAAGTAGATCTTAGAGATCACCTTATATAATTAAATAATGTACCTGCCCCCAGGAATATCAAACAGTGGCCTCAGATCTTTCTACGAGTTAGCAGCAGAGCCGAGAATGAAGTCCAACTTCGCAGACTTCAGCACAGTTGTCACAACACGTTCCAGTGACCAGTGAGTCCCCCAGAATTCCAAGGTTTTCTCTTTCCTGGACTCCATAACGGTGTCCCGGTCCCAGGACAAAGTCAGAGCTAAGGATGTACTCACATTATGTGAGCTAAACAGTATCAACCAAAGTGAAAATATTCCTGAGTCTGGCTCCCTGAGTGCAGGAGAACGTCAGGGTGCAACTCAGCTGATTTTGAAAATGGCTTAAATTTTTGTCCCGTGAATGAAAGAACAGGCCATCACTGCAGTGTTTTCCTTGGGTGTTTTCATCTCTCCTTAGCTTGGAAACTTCGGGGGTTCAGCAGTAGCTTTTGTCCTGGAAGGATCACAAAATGGCTCTAGGATTTGAGGTGGATTTGGGGCTAAGGATGTGGGACGAGGGGCTAGAACAAGAGAAATGCGGGAGTAACGTGACCAAATCTTTGCAGTGTAAATAGGACAACTCACCCCTGTGAGAAGGACGTCAAGGGCGGGGGCTGGACTACCGCTGAGTTAGTGAGTTTGCATTTGGAGCAGCCAGGTGGGTCTGCTCTGCCTGGAGAGAATTCATTCCCTTTTGCACAGTTTTAGGCTTATGAAATCCTCCAGTGAAATCTCATGGTGAGGATCGGCTGTACAAATCATTCTTAAACCTCAGAAAACAGATACTGATCTCTGAAAGCAGACTGGGTCTCCCTGGTTCCATCCCAGCCTCCCTGCTCGAGGTCAGACTCAGAGGCCTGTGGGGACGCTCCCCACCCTGCACCACACCGCAGGTCCATTCCCAGGGCAGGGTAAGAATTACATCACTGAAGTCTCCGTTTTTCTATTGCCCGATTCCCTTTATAAAAAATATGTGTATTTTTAAAAGTGATTTTAAATGAACGTCCGCCTAGATGCTAGAAAGGTGTTTGAATAAATGAAAGAAGTTTTTAAATCTAAAACTTCTACTTCAGGAACTTCTACTTTGAGATACACAAGAGTTCATAAGAGCAAAACTAGTTTTTCTACTAGCTTTTAAAATATTTTACAGAACTAACTCATATTATGATGTCTTTCCTAAAAACATCCCACATTTTTCTCAAACAGTCTTCTGTGGATAAGCTCATGCAACTATTTTAAAAGTGAGATAAAACCGAAAATTAACCAGGGGAACAATTTACTGAAAAATATGCTAACACTGCTTTAGATCGCCAGCTTGTCCTGCTTTTCTGACTCACCCCCTTACAAACTGCTCTTCCACTCTGTCTTATATTTTTTAAAAAAAATTTTAAAGGACCAAAACTGTCAAAGCCAGGAAAATATAACGTGCTAAAGGACGGAATCATTGTTCTCTGTATAGATTCATACATATATGTCAAAGCTTTTGCATCATCTCCTGGACACACTGTAGAAGGTTAAGTCATTTCTCACAGTGAAGGCTGTGTTCACATCTCCCTGAAGGAGGAACGGGTGGAAATGTGCCACCCTGGCTGTGGCACCTGAAACGAAACTTAGGCGAGGTACTGACTTCGGGACTTTTCTGTGTGCCCCCTCCCTTCCCATTCCAAGAATGTCAAGAATTTGAACTCCCTGTTCTTAAGGTGAAAGGGCATTAACTCAGATCTGTTCATGAAGCAAAGAGGTGGGGAATCCTGAGACATGGAACTCTACAGTAAAACCTCCCAGGCTTATTATGGCAATAGGTGATTATTTCCTGTGGTGCTTACAGTAATTGGAAACAACGTTTGAATTACAGGTCATGAATTAGGAGTCAGCGAGATCGCCATTTGCATCTCAGTAGTTCTCTACTCCTTTATTTCAACATTTAGCTTTAGGTTTAAAGTATTTGCTAAGAAAGCAGAGAGGCGATTAACAGAGGTTTTCAACTGTGTGCCATAGTTACACATTCTGTCAACAGAGTAAAAGGAAACTATACAGCATAAGTTACAAAAGGGTTATTTCATGTTGCGAAAACATTCCAATAAACCTTTCACTGTGGTGTATTCAACAGCGGAAATGCAAAGCAAAAATGGAGGGCAGCCCGGCTGCTTCCCAATCCGAAGAGCCACCCGGCCGGCTGCAGTTTCTGCACGTGCATCGCTCAGCCAGGAGCTCTTCCTCCTTCTTAGAGAGGAGAGGGGAGCCAGCAGAGAAACTGTAGCTCGAGAGGGGGCCCCAGAAGTCGCTCCAGCCCTAGGTTAAATTCCCGGTTTCTCCCCTCAAAGGAATGGATGCTGCCTGTCCGGGGAGAGCGCTGGCTCCTAGGGCGTAACTTCCCGTGACTGTTAGGTTCTATTGCTGCTTTCGTTTGAGACAAACTCCTCTCTCTTAAATGAGCTAGAGCCACCAGATTCTGTTAGAGCTCGGCCCTCACTTTGATACGATGTTATTGTGTTGCTTTAAAATAGTTTAGCTTTATTATTATTATAGTATTATTCCAACAGACTGTGTAAAGGCAGTGACCGCTAACACGGAACACGGCAGAGAATGACAGGGAGCCCGGCTGCTCCGGGCACAGCCCGTCACAGACGCACACATCAGTAGCTCAGACGCTGCTACCGTTATAGCTCAGGCTGCGGGAGGAGTGAGTGAGCGGGCAGACACTGCCGGACCCTTAAAAGCTGTTTAATAAATATCATCCAAGAGCAAAAGGGAAAAATAAACCCTCCAGAGCACAGCCACCTTAGGTCAACTGAATGTAATCTAGTTTATTCAACCAAAAATTGAGAGAGAAGGAAAACATTAAAATCAAAAAAAAAAAAAAAAAGCAGGTCTTAACACTAGCAGTAAATAAATTTGTACAATAATTCAGTCTGTATAATATGATGAAATAAATCTACATCTTTTCTTATTTTGGTGCTTTGAATTATACATACAAACAACAATTACAGAGACTTGGTCACAAAGCGTGTAGGCCTAGAAGCGACACTTCAAAACCCTCGGCGGCAATTTGTAAGCTTTACCACGGATTGCCCGGAACTGCTACTTCCTCTGCAGAGGCCCACAGCTTTGAAGGAATGATTTGCTACGATTTTTTTCTTTTTTTTCTTTTTTCCTTTTTTTTTTCTTTTTTTCTGTCTATATATTTTTTTCTTTTAATGCATCAAACAACTGCGGCCAGTGCAAGGAAACCAAACTGGCGTTTGTCCGTTTGGACCTCAGACCTAGTTTCCTTTGACTCTCCACACTTTATCTCCCACATAATCCTTAAAATTCTTGGCGTCCTTCATGCCTTTCTTACAGCTACTCAGGGCAATAAAGTCTTCCTCAAATGTACAGCATTTCTTACAATATAAGTTATAAGCAATGTTCAGCAATTTTTTTTCACAGCACTAGAAACCCTGTTAAATAGGGAATATGAGTCTGAATGGCTTATTCACAAATGGGATCCAGATTCGGCGGCCGGAACACAGACACCCCAGGGAGCTCCTTTGCAAAGGTGGCAAACATCATTTTGCTTTCTGCCTTCAAAAACATATATCCATCTCTCTTAGGCTTCATGATACTGCTCCTGCAAAAGCGCAAGTGGAAGGGCTGCAGCGCCTCTCGCTTGCTCACTCGCTCGGAGACCTGTGCGCCTCGAGCGGGCCCTAGCCCATGGCGGTGACCATACTGGAAGGGTGGTGAGGTCCGAAGGAGAGGCCGGACGGCGGGTGCATGGGCGTGGGTGTGGTCAGCATGTGGCTGGAGTGGCTGAAGGGGGAGATGTGGCTCAGGGAGGACATGTGTCTGGAGAGGGCGGCCGGGTTGAACGAGCTGCTCTTGGGGAAGTCCTCCAGCGTGTCGTGCACCTTCTTGCACTTTTTGGATTTGCTAGACATCTTCCGGTTTCTGGTCTGGATGCCTTCCTTCTTCATCGTCAGGGGTCTGTTAATCTAAACAAAGATCAATTTTTTTTTTTTTTTTACTTTTTTGCTGCCTCTGAAATGGCACAGGTTTTCACAGCAGCGCGGGCTCTGCCAGCTGACTCAGGCCAGGGATCCGTTTCGGTTTCAGGGGCCCCTTCCTTCCCTCCTCTGCCCCACCTGTCCCTTCCTCCTTCCCAGGACTCTGGCCAGCTGTGCTGGGTCCCAGCGGGAGGGGTCCTGACTGGCAGCTTCTATAAGCCTGCAGAGACCAGAGGGCCTAAGCTCCAAGCACAGCTCGCCAACGAAGCTCATCAGTAGCGAGGACTTGGGGGACAGCTTTCCTCCCGGAAATCTGCACCTCCAGGGCCCACTTAGCATGACTGTATTTCTCAAGTAACTAAAATAGAATAACTTGCCTTATTTCATCACTATGTCCCTAGAATATCTCATGAGAATACAGACTGTGGTGGAAACTTCCAGAAAGAAATAAATACCTTTTGTCTGTCTGTCTGAAAATCCTAGGATTTGAAAAGCACTGCCCAGGTAATCAGTCTTCAGGGGTTGAAGTCTAACTGCCTTGGAAAAACTGGGGTGCACCTCTTCGTGAAGACGTTTGGTTGCTTTTCTTCCACCTTGCCTTCTTGCAGTGACAAGTCCCAAAAATTTCCCTGGAAAGTGCCTGTTCTAGGACCTGTTTTAATACATCACTTCCCCGAAGATAATCCTCGGACTGTATCACCAGGCAGAAACTTCAGTGGTTGGAAGTTCCTACTTCTCCCTAGATTTAACTAGACCAAGAGCTAAACAACCAATCAGCACATAGTTACTACCCACCTCTGGCCCAAGGATGAGCTAAAGGGAAGACACCGTGCAAGACCCCACACTACAGAGAACAGGCTTCACTCTGCCACAGTTTGCTGTCTCTGGCTTTCTTATAAACTTCATCTGTCCTTTGTAAATACATCAGCTTCGGGCGCTCAGAAGCAAGATCTGGGACTTTACGAAGCAAACAGAGGCTTCTCCCCACACAGAGCTAGGGTCAAGTCAACCTCAAGAGCACACATCTGCCGCCAAGAGCCAACTGCACATCTGGCCACGTTCCCGGGAAAATGCAGCAGAGACGCAAGAAGTGACTGTCAGGGGCCCAGTCATTCCACACTTCCTATGGGGAAACAGCCCCTTCCGCCAGACTTCCAGGGTGAAGAAAGGGCCCACCCGTCTGCTAGAAAATTCCAGGTAAGGAAAAAAGAATCCAAAATGTCCGCAAAGGACCTAACTCCCAGACACAGCAAACACCAGCTTCCTGAAGAGGAGAGGTAGTACCTGAGCGGGGGACAGAGCCCCACACCAGAGCCGAGGCCTTATGCCATCCTTGTGCCAGGAAGGCGACATGAGTGGCAGAAGAAGAGCCAAGGAAGGTCACTGCCAGGAGAAAGGCCGGGGGTTCCTGCTTCAAGTCATCATCAAGATAAAGATGCCGGCTACAGAGATGACAGGAATCTACTCCCACATCAAATCTTCACCGAGATAATGTCTAGATACACCGTCCTGTGTGCTGATAGCTAGATACGCACTGCCAGGTATCTAAATATAATATCTAGTTACACAGATAGCCACGAAGCCCCAGATAACTCCTACAACACCACCTAGACATGCTGATGCTGCGATAGACAATTATCTGGACTTCCAGATAAGAAAGCTGCTTGTGGCGTGCCCGTGTAGACATTTGCATGGGCAGAACAGACCGTGACACCATGAAAATGGTAATAGATTATTATCTCTTATTGTTAAATACACAGAAATCGCTTCCTTTGATGAATCACTACAGCCAGCAAAAACATACTAGAGGATGTTCTCCCGGCCACCGGAGGCCAGCCCTGAGCACAGAGCTCAGGAAGAGTAAGGTAGGCCGTCCGCATTGGAGATGTCTTGGCTTTTGTTTGATTTGAAAAATTCAGTGTGCTGGGGGTGTAGCTTAGTCGCAGAGCGCTTGCCTAGCATGTACAAGGCCCTAGGTTTGTTGCCTAGCACCCCAGGAGAGGGGGATCATATTTCTCAGAAAATTATAGATATTGGATTGGATACAAGTGAAATCATATCCTGACTATTCAACAAATGGAGAGCTAGTTCATTTCCTACACTTCTGTGGAAACAGGAAGAAATATATACAGGTGCCTGATTCATGACGATGTTGCCGCGTTCCAAGCTAGAATAGCATTCCCTTCCCAGGCCTCTCCTCCCAGCGCTGATGCCACCGGCCCCCCGGAAGGAGGCTGCCGCTGACGCCCATCCTGCCTCTTCCCCTTTGTCACCCACATTACCTTGCATGGGCAACTCGCTTTTCTGAGTCATCAGTTCTTCAAGTAAAACTGAACTGAAAAGAATTTCTGCTCTGTCTACATCATGGAACTCTTTGAGGCTCAAATGTGATCGAGTAACACGAAAGTTCTTAGAAAGTAATTAACTGAACTCAAAAAATAACTTCCGCGGCCATGCTGCTGACTGGATCACGAATAAACTCTGCTACCCCAAGTCTGCCAGAGGTTTTAATCACAAATCCTTCCATCTACACTCCAGTGAGCAAGTAAGTTCCCCAAAGTGAAATGAGAGGGTGGGTCTCACTGCTGATAAATGTGTGTGTGCCACAGCCCCGGGATCTGAGGGGTACAGTGGGTCATCGTGTTGGTTACTGCATGGGGACCGTGTCAGGAGACAATGACACCGAAGGCAGGGAGAAGAGTTTCTAAGGCCCCCGGGAACCTCAGCAACTTATCCCCAGTATGTGAAACAGGAGTGGTGAGCTGGTGGTGACCCTGAGAAATCCTCGGTGATGCAAAATACCTAAACAGAACAGCCTCGCCCCCATCCCAGTTCTAAGGTAAAATGAATTTACTGCCCCAGGGCCCCAAGCGAGAAATTCTGCCTCTTCCCCTCAGTCCCAGACATTGCCAAAGCCGGTTAGAAGGGAGACTTTAGAAGAATCAGAAAAAGCTAAAGGAGGAGGAGAAAGAGACAGAGAGAAAGAGGCCAGTTCCTTCTGAATTGTTTCCAAAAGAAAGAAAAGTCTGGAAAAAGAATTTAAAGTAAAGATATAACAAAATTGATGGGAAAGAAATTGGCGGACCCCACATTAAAAGATTCGAAATGACACCACTAAACCAGGTGGGTGATCACTGTCATTCTAAGGTGCTAGGGAAGGAGAAGGCGGGAGTTCCTTAGCCTCGCTGTGAGAAGGACCGCGCCCACCCGTGCGGCCCTCAGCTCTCCGCCTGGGAGAGCTAGCCAGGACAGACATTAGATGCAGTCTCACAGACGTCACCTCTCACATCCGCCTGGAGAGAGCCCACGGGACCTCCCAGCACAGGCTCAGCCAAGACCCCTTACCCGGCAGTCACTGACTACCCTCTGCATTCAGGGATCGCCACGCCCTGCCTGACGAGCCTGTTCACCTTCCTCAAGCCCACCCCTCTTCTCTCTTTCTCACTCTCTTTGCAAAAAGTTTAAAACGCAAGGAAATATCAAAACAGAACTGGTGACTTAAAAAAAAAAAAGAAAAAAAAACTGGTGACTTTTTGTGTTTTCCAAGAGAAAGATTGTTTTTTCCCTCTTATAAAAGCAGATAGGAGCCGGGTGTGGTGGCGCACGCTTGTAATCCCAGCACTTGGGAGGCTGAGGCAGGAGGATCATTGTGAGTTCAAGGCCAGCCTGGGCTACAAAGTGAGCTCAAGGCCAGCCTGAATCACATAGCAAGAACCTGTCTCAAAAAAGACCAAAAAAAAAGCAGACAGGTCCACGACAGCCACATCGAGGACAGTGCATTCCACATATACTGAGAGGGTTGCGCTGCTGTCCCGGAGCCCTTATGGTCTTGGCAAGGCTAACAGGGACGAAGCAGTTTTCTGAACTAATCCCTCCCGCACTGGTTGTCTGAGGCCCGTGACTCAGCCGGAGGAGGGTGATTTCCATCAGGGCTCCACGCAGGGCCCTGTGACCTGGTTCAGCGGGCACTGCTGGAGACGTACCCCGCTCCTGCTGGTCCCAGGCCCACTTACATTGTGCAGCTTGTAGTAGAGCCCGCAGGCGTTGCAGACCGGGTCCCCGTTGGCGTTCCTCCTCCAGAGGGTGGTAGTGGTGGTCTGACAGTTCGCACAGGACGTTCCCGCCCTCCTTGCTGCGGACTGGGGGTGTGGAGGAGGGAGGAGAAAAATCAAAACAAACGGTAAATGTGTTGTCGGAACCGCGCAGACAGATGAGCTTGAAAAAAGAAAAGACAGACACTATCATTGAAAACAAAACTAGCAAGTGGCCCACATGAAAGTAATGAAGATCCCCAAATCTGCCTCAAGAAGAAAGAGATAGCCAATCCACTGGAAAAGAGCATATGGGGCTATAGCAATTCAACTTCTCATCTAAGTCACCCCTTCCCTCCACCCCACAAAGCACACCAGAAGATTCGTTTTTAGGGGTAGCAATTTGGAATTTGCCAGGCTAACTTGGGTGCCTGGCTTTTGGTCATTTTATTCTCCAAAGCCAGGCCTACAAGAGATCTTTTTCAAACATAACCTCTGAGAATGTCAATTCTCTATCAGGGCCCTGGCCATGAGGATACAAGAACAGCAAAGGGAGAGAAAATCCAAACGGGGACAGCAAAGACTTGCTAGATCCCAAACCACGGAAGAGTGGAGTGTAAAGGGAGCACAGCGTGTTACGGCATAGCACGGTTGCTCTGAGACGTCTGCACGCATGCGCGGCACTAACTGTTGTAGGACTTAGGGAGCACCCAGCTGGACAGCCTAAGTCAACAGGACCCCAACCCATTTGCAGCTGGCCTAAATTCACACAGCCCACACTTTAGGCCTTGGTCACTGACCGCTTCTGAGAGAGCCACTGTGGCCTCCCCGATTAAGTACCCAGCCTTTAATGACGTGAACTCAAAAGAACAAGTAACTTTTCTCTTCAGCCCGAATTGTGGACCCCCTCTTGCTTTAATCTCCTGTCCCCCTTCATGAAATTAGGAATGTCCTATTCACTGCTCTCCAAGGAGAAAAACCGCAGACCTGGTGGCAAATGCCTATAATCCCATCACTCTGGGAGGCTGAGGCAGGAGATTCACAAGTTCAAGCTCAGCCTGAACAATGTAGTAAAATCTTGTCTCAAAATAAAAAATTTTTTAAAAGGTTGGGAGTGTAGCTCAGTGCAAAGACTGAGTTTGCTCTCCAGTCCACCCCAAATAAAGCCAACTTCAACTTATATTTTAATTCCTCAGCTGTGCCACCCGCTGCTTTCATTTTCTCGAAAACGGGGATCTTTTTCCTTCACTTTCTGATGCACTGAAGTTTATCAGGTGACTGTATTTGATATCTATACTTTAAACAAAATTAAATTCAATACTATTGAAGGAAAATGGAGTTGAACCGCTTCCGACATACTCCTTCCTCCCCTTCCTCACTGTCTATTGTAAAACAAAACCTTTAACTCCAAAATCACTTCTGCTCTTGGACGCAAAATGATTATCCAAGCAAAGGCCAGTCTTTATCTGTGGTCGAGAGCACCGTGGTGTGAGGCTGGCGGCGTAGCTAAGTGTTAAACCCCGTGCTTAGCACACAAGATCTTGCGTTTGATCTGCAGGAAAGAGGAAGGAGGGAGGGAAGGAAGGAAGGAAAGCAAGAAGGAAGGGAGAAGGGAAGGAAGAAGCAAATCTTGATATAAGAACATGGAGCAAAAGCTACAGGGATCCTGGTGCTCTTTTCTATCAGTATTTTACCAAACAGAAACTTGGACCAGGCGTGGGAAACTCCCAGATATAGTGAAGTCGTTAGCGGCAATTTTGAATTAACCAGACTGCCACAGCCACTCTACTGCTGTACAGACGTGGCCCTTCAGGCTTTAAGTAGCATGGCTCTGGCTTCTGTTATTTTTAAGAAATTCTTCTCTTCTGTACTCTAAGGAAATGGGAATGAAAAAGGCCTTTCTCTCTCAAAATGGAGAAGGTGCTACTTTTCCGTTGTCCATTTTGAACATAATTCTCCAAGGCCCAAGAATGCAGATTCTCGTTCCACAGGCCGATGGCCACCTGCCTTTGCGAGACGTGACAGGTCTTAAATAGCTGCTTCGCTTATGTACTCTCAGGAAGAAAGCGCTACATAAATTAATGCCTCATGATTATTGACAGTTGTGCCACATGTGATCATGATTGTCTTCCCGCAGTTCTGTCTTCCTGGAAAAGAAATATTCAGAGATAGCAGACTAATATCTACTCAGGAACCCTGAGTTCCCGGCACGACCATTGTGAATATATAATACAAACATAATGCCAACTGCTAAAAGTAGAATTCCAGGGCTGGGGATTTAGCTCAGCAGCACAGCGCCTGCCTGGCAAGCACGAGGTCGTGAGTTCGATTCCCGGTACCGGAAAAAAAAAAAAACCAAAAAGTAAAATAAAAGTAGAATTCCAAACAATGAGGTTCCATATGTAATCCTTTGCAGGATTGAAAATAACATAAATATTTTAAAAAGAGAAAGTAACAAATACCAACAGGCTCAGAATATGTTTTCAGTGCTACAGACTATGCGAATTTACACAGGGTCTCTCAGGGCCATGCTGCGTGGTTCCCTAGCAGGAGCAGAGTACGTTCATAAAGCAGGCTGCTCAGCTTTTTGCAAGATATGAGACTTATGAAAACCCCAGCAATACCAGGGGGTGGGCATGATTTTGCCTTTAACCATCTCTTCTATCCCCTTCTATTAGTTTACCATGTTAGATATGCATCTCGCAGAAGAGCTAGTTACATTAGGGGGTGGGTGGTCTTTAGTGACTCCTCAGAGGTGTGAAACAAAAACAGCAAAGTGCAAAGATGGACCTGAAGGCACAGGAAATATAGGAAATGAGAGGTTCTGGGGCTCAGGGTGTAGCCCAGGGTACAGCATACGCTTAGCACGCACAAGTTCACGAAGGAAAAAAACAGAAAACGAAAGCCGACATGTTCAGAAGTCAAATACACCTAAGAGCTAATTTTAAAAAAACTCTTAATGTCTTTCTACAGTTTATGAGTTCTATGGAACTAAAAATATCAAACCACTCAGGACTGATGATTAAGATAGAAAAGACAGCCTAAAATGTGACAGCCCATGAACTCTAGAGTTAAAAGCAATTCTTAGAGTTCTGCAGGTTTCCTAGGAAAGGTGAGTGAAGACAAAATCATACAAAATGGAAGTAACCGCTCCTGTGCCATCCAAGTCTCGCTCATTTATCAGCCTGCAGTAGGAGACGTTTACCCCACTTTTTTCCTCATTATCTTTACCTTTAAGAGCACTATAATTGTACTAAGACTTATTTTAACAAGAAAAATCTCTCGTTTCTTTCTCTCCCTCTTTCTCCCTGTCTTTCTTTCCTTCTCTCTTTCTTTCTTCCTGTGGCCAGGTTCTGAGTGATTCAGAACATTCTTTCGTGGTGTGATCACATTCATTCTGTGCTAACACCTCCAGTCATTTTTTTTCAAACACTTCTTGTTCTGATCCGTCCAAACATCTTGATGTTTAGGTTGGGGAAGCTGAGTTGTTGTTTATGAGTTATCTCTAGTGCTCAGATATCCGGCAGCTTTTTCCTAGGAAGTTAGCTTTGTACATGAGAGAAAGGAAAAAAAAAAAAACAAACCCCAAACTGCAAGAGAAGTGGGGGAGGCTGAGAAAGTTGGAGAAGGGGCAAAGATCAGAAAGAATAAAGTCTAGAGATCTAGGACCGCCAAAAGTTAAAGTCATGTGGGTACTTCCATCCCTAGAAAGTTTTTCCTTTTTCCAAAGGGGATGTGAAAGGTGTTGGGCTGCACTACAATCTGATACAGCAGGCAAATAATGCTTTAAAAAAGTACAGAGACTTTTTTTCTCCCTTTAGAATGCGATGGGGGTTAATTCATCCATTAGTGTGCACAGGGAAATTCCCCTCCTCCTCTCTGCACTTGGTGAATTTCAGCACCACAGAAAGCATTCTGATCCCTGACTGTGGTTAGCTGTCATCTGCCAAGCTTGCTTTTATTTGTCACTGTTACATACACTCAATATTCTATTTGCCCTAAAGGTCCAAAGATAAGCTTACAAATGGACTGCTCTTACTCGATCGTGCCAGGCTTCCTGGAGTATCCTAATGCTCGAGAAGTTTAAAAAAGAAAAGGGAAAGAGAGGGAGGGGAGAGAAAAACTATCAACTCTATTGATAAGAGTTCAAAGAGAAAATAAGACCAAATGCTAGGTGAGACCAACAGGCAGGAGAGGAATCACAAAACTTTCCTATAGGAATTAACCTGTAGAAGTTCTCAATCTCTAAGACCAAGGAAAGAAAAAATTGCAATCATCTCAGGGCCTGCTACTTCTTAAATTTAGGTAATGGCCCCCATCAATCTCAAAGCACTAGCTCAAGAGAGTCACCCACAGAAATGAGTTTGATTACTTCCTCAGTGCCTACCTTGAACTACTTCTGGAGCATGTTCCCAGTGCTTCCTGGGACATTCCAATCTTATACTAAATTTCTCTGTCTGAGACACAGTGATTACCCGTGTATTTTAAATCAGTTGCCCTGTTTCTGTTAAATGTAATTGTTCTACTGGGGAGTACATTTCAGATGCAGTCATCTAGAACTGTATCCTTGAAAATTTGAGAAGTTATTTAAGTAACATGAAAGGAAAAACTAGCTTTTATGCATTACTAATCTTTTATATTATTTTTTGAGATGAGGTCGTGCTATGTAGTTCAGAGTGGCCTCGAACTCATTCGGTAGCCCAGGCTGGCCTGGAACTCGTGGCCGTCCCCCTGCATCCCAAGGCCCGGGCTGACAGGCACGCACCACGATGCCCAGCTGTGTAGCTAATTTTTAAGAAGCAAAGCTGTCCTGAGCAAGCTGGCATGATTTGGAGCTGCCCTGTCCATTTCCCGCAGAAAGCCCTCCTTCCTGGACAGAGGAAACGGGAACACAAAGCGCGTGGCACGGGATCAGCTCCTCCCGGCAGAACTCACCAGCCTCCGCTTGGGCTTGATGAGCGGCCGGTTCTGCCCGTTCATCTTGTGGTAGAGTCCGCAGGCGTTGCACAGGTAGTGGCCGGTGCCGTCCCGCCGCCACAGCGGGGTTGAGGTCGCCCCACAGTTCACACACTCCCTGCCTTCTGGAAACAAACGACGGATAAGTCACTTATGGAAGGGAAAAAGTGAAGCTGAAAAGTCCTCTTTCCTCCCCCTCTTTTGAGGGCCATTGCAGTCGCACCTCCTTCTTGCTAGCAGAGTTACTGCTGCCCTTCCTTCCTGGCTTCACCACTCCCAGGACACACACCGACTGTATCCAAAGAAGTGGAAGATTAATAAATAGCAGCAGAACCCTGTTCTCGGCCTGCTTGATTCGAGGGGGAAAATCAGGTAGAAAAAAAAAGGAGGAAGGCAGATTTCAACTTGAAATACTTCCCTGAGAAAATTCTGAGCCCTAGACAGTGGCAAAAGCCAAACATTCCTTTCATTTCCCTCAAAGGAAAACAAAACACAAAGGTGACCCAGTTCATCACCAGCTCTGTCTCTATAGCTTGATTAAACAGTGAAGATTAGGATGAGGGAAAAGGAAAGATTAATCAATGACTAGATAGATAAACAGATAATAAATAGATGTATAGCTTGATCAGTTGGCTGGCTGATGAATAGCTGGGGCTCTGGGTTTTACTTTTAATAAACTTGTAAATGCTCCTGATTGCCAAGTAATAGATTAATAATAAGCAGGACCTACTCAGCCTCCACCTTCCTGTCTACCTAGAAAATGCCAAGGTTTCCCATAGCTCTCCTGCCACCAGTATAGAAACTAAAGTTGAGTGTGACCCCGCCTGACCAGCCACGGTTGCTGGAAGGAAATACAGAGCAGAACCTGGAAGAGACACTAGGAGGACGGGAAGGGGTGGGAAGAAGGGCTGAGAGGGGCAGAAGGAAGATGGCTCGAAGATCAGAAGAGGAGAGCCGGCCAAAGACAGCGGGGCTGTTGGTGGGCTATCAGCCACGGCCTGCTGCAGTTTCTCTTTGTCCAATGACACAAACCAAATAAACAGAAAACAGCCCAGTTTGTTCCAGTGGCAATTTCTCCTAGAGCTGGAGCTGAAGAGCAACAGACTTGCACCCCAGGAAGTGCAGGGAAGAAGCCCTTATGTGACCCAGAACCTGGGGGGATTTAAGCGCTTTCTAGCTAACATCTGCTGGAAGAAAAGGAAGATGCCTCCTACGGGAACCTCCTCCACTGGGGGGGCACCGCAGGACTGTGGTACCTGGTTCTGTCAGTGCCCAGGAGGGACCTGGACGGGGCAAGGGTAAGCGCCATGCTGGTCTACTGGGGCAGAGCCAGGTGCTGGGAGGGCCACAGGCTGGGTGGGCAGGGGCGAAAGCTGAGCCCACAGGTGCTTGTCTTGAGCTTGGTAATTAACACCAGCCTAGCAGCAGGCTGAAGTGGGAGCAAAGAAGAGAACCCAGCAGGGTGCTTGGGAAGTCTGATGCCTCTGCAAGGAGGCAAAGTCCGCTTGGGCGGCAGGAGACCTCCTGGGCCTTTGCAAACCCCCAGATCAGGAGTGAGGGAACTCACAGCACACACACTCGCAGGGCTCTGGTCTTTTCCAGGGGCAAATTCTGCAGGAAAGTTTAAAACCTTGGAAAACGGAAGATGGTCTGACCCCTTTCCCCTTAGAGCCCAGGATGGTAGTTTTTGTCTTATTTGTTATTTCAAACAACTTTTAAGCAGACATCCCCCCCCCATTCCAAAAAGCTTCTGAACCTGGGGTCTACAGAAAGCCCTCCTTGTGTCAAAGAACTTTGCACTTGGGGGCCAAAAGCACTTTCCCGCTACTCAGCAGCCCTTCTTGGTTCTCTCAAAAGCCCTGGAGTGCCTGCCCCACACCCGATACCTTCCACTTGGGGTCAGAAGCGGGGATGTGGCGGACTGGATGTGGAGGAGGTGTGAAGGAGGGAGCAAGGGCGAGTGGGCGAGTGCCGGCTGCAGCCCCGGTGTCCCTGCCCCTGTGGCGCTGGGTCAGCCCTTTCTGGAGGCGGCAGCCTGGGCCGTCCTGCTCTGACACAGCCATCTAGGTTCCTGCCTTGCTGGGGCACTGGGCGGGCAGAAGAGCAGAGTAAAACCCTGCTCCCCCACACATCCGTCACCAGCAGCCACTCGGCTGGGGTGGTCCCTGTGGGGAGCGGCATGGATGCCCGCCTGCTCCTCGGCACCCTGGCATGAGGGGATCTCCGAGACCAGTCTGATTTCCTTTCCTTTGTCAGTCAGGAGGTAGGATGACAGCTTCCTTTTCAGAGGCCCTTCGAAGCGAGAGAGCAACGGCTGCTCCTCGGCAGGGCTCTGCACACCAGAGCAATTTTCTGTCCTGATTCACTCCGCAAGTTTGCGATTGCCTCGCGTGCACTTTTGCTTTTTCTTTTGTCCTTGCTGCCTCCAGTCTGTGACTTCAGCCACAGCCGGTTTTCCTAATGGAGGCCGCCTCTCTACTGCTCTCTGTCTTGCCTGTACGCGGTGAGCTGCTCGGGCAGACACCTCTCTCTTAGGTGACAAGAACCACAGAGCTGTGAGGCTTTCTGACGTTCAGCAGCCATTTTCAAACGCCCCCTGGGCTCCGACTGAATCCTTGACAAGCCTGCCGCGCGCTGTGCAGGCCCAGGGTTCAGGGCGGGAGATTTCAGAGAAGCCCAGGGGGAGATGCCCACCGTCAAAAGGTGGTTGGGAACCTTTCATAGCAGCTTTTGTCTTTTGTTTGCAAAGGCATAGCCCGGCTCAGAAAGCCCAGACGGTAGACAGCCATATGCCCCGACCACAGCTCCTACGGGTTCTCCAAAATGTGGCCGCAGCAGCCCTGACAGACCTCTCTTCCCTGTCTCCTCCAGCAAGGGCATCTACAGAGAAGCGGGGAGGAAGAGAGAGGCGGAGGAGAGAAAGGAAGAAAGAAGAAAGAAAGAAAGAGAGGACGACAGGGACCTAGGAGAACCCCTTCCAGAAGATTTCCCACCAGTTCACCCTGTGCACACGCACAGCTTCTCAGAAGTTCCCCTCCACACCCCGAAAGCCCCAGCTCCCTCGCTGGCCAGGTGTGCTATCCTTGGTTTTCTGTGACTGTGAGAAAGGAGTAAGAAGGAGGAAGTAAAGACCCGAATTTCAGTGGCCTCCTCTCTGCCTTCGCAAACACTAACAACCCTGCAGGTAATCTCAGCTCTGCTTTAGGGAACCCCTAGCTCTGTTCCCCTGCCCCTGTTCACAGCCTTAAGGAAAGAAACGAGAGCCCAAACTGAAGACAGACAGGGCGCACAGTCAGTGGGGGATGGAATCAAACACGGAAACCAGGCCAAAGAAACCAGAGGCTTTTGGGAAAGTCACTCTGTCCCCTCCCCACACATAAACCACCGCACTGGCCTCAGAGACCTGGATCTTCCCCCAACCGCACGGCCCTATCAGTAAAGAGAACTTAAAAAAAACCATTATGAGCTGGTCTGCTCCTTACATGCAGCCCTCCCGCCCACAGCTCTGAAGCTGAGCTGTCACCCTTCTCTCGCCAGTCCCCTGCCCCCGCCAGCCGCCTGTCCCAGGCACCAAGCACCCTGCTCCACAGCCTCCTTCCTCTGCTCTCTCTCTCTCTCTCTCTCTCTCTCTCTCTCTCTCTCTCTGACTCCACCACCCAGCCTACCTCCTTCTCCCTCCTGCCTACTTTCATGTACTGAACATGCAGGTCTGAGCTTTTCTGTCAGCCTAACCGCATCCGGACTCTATTAAAGTTCCTGGCTCGGGATAAACAATGCAACTGTCGCGTGCAGCAGTCTGAAAATAATTGGATTAGCTAAAACATATCAACTAAATAGAGACAGTCCTGCTCAGGCAGTCGGAGTGAATGTCACCCTAGGAAAAAACCCTGAAAACTGATCTCATGGTCACTGGGCTCCCAGAGCCCTCCCCTCTGAAGTTTTTCGACCCGGAGCTCCGGGAGCACAGTTTCAAGACTGCTCATCTCACCCTTAAAAGACAACTGACTTTCACCACCGCTTTTTCAATAGGGTCCAAACAGACAGAGGGCAGAGGCAAGACAGTCGGAGTGCACCAGGGAATAAATGCTCACCCCGAAATGCACACACCGTACAAGACTACAATCTTCACAGAATCACACCTAAAAACACACACGCAAGCCTTATCTCAGAGAATCCCTTTCTCTCTTGTGACTGACTGCTTCTGCTAGAAACAAAATTGATGGTGGGTTATTCTTTCTTCGGGCAAAAAAATCTGCGTGTGCATGTACGTTTTAACACAAGCGACCGCATCAACAGAATAAATACGCACCATGCTGCTAGACAGACTTGCTCTTTGCAAAGACAACAACCAGAGTTAACAGAAATTTACACCTGGAGAAGCTACCTCTGCCCTTTCTACATCTTCCGGCTTCTGACCAAGGGAGGAATGTGCCCTAATACAGCTTCCTGCCCCTGCCCGCAGGAGAGCTCTAAGAGGCGGTGCAGGGAACTAACTGGGCCACTTGCATTTGACTTCATTCAGCTCTGCTTCCCCATGGCAGCCCCCGCCTGCTCGCAGAATTCAACCCAGGGTCTCTTCTCCACCAAAGAAAACGGGTGCTGCTTTTGCCTCCTTCCTATCTCTTCCCCAAAATTTCGGTGACATACCACACTTTATTTATACCTGTCCCCTAAAGAACGGTCCTCTGCTGCAGATGGAATGACCCCCTTGGAGCTGAGGGAGAGTAACAGTCTCAGACTAACAGGGGTCACAGGGGGGACCTGTGTTTGTTTAGGTTTGCCGAGGTTTCATTTTAGCATTAAACACTAAAGATTTATTCCCGCGGCCTTCCACTTGGTCTTCAAAACAGACTAAAGGTTACCAGCACAATGCAGAAGTCCTAGGACAGCCAGGAGAGCTCATGGCCTTGCTTTTGTTTCTCTCTTCGCTAATTCCTCTCCTTCCTCTCCCAGCTTACTGAGGGGTTTTAAATCAGATCCGCCTTCCCCTCCACTTCTCCAAACAGGAGTGAGGCCGGAGGACACACCGCATTCTCCCCCGGCTGGAAGAATGGGTTGAAAGCAATCTCAGAAGGGCTCCGGTCGCCGCCCCCCAGCTCCCCAGGGGCCCCTTTGCCCTGCCCTAGTTTAGGCGAAGGAGGGCAGAGATGGCTCCTACCTGTGCTGGATCTCGCCTTGGGCCGCGACTTACATCCGAACCCGGTGGGGGAGCCCCCCAGCAGGCTGCTGGGCGGGAAGAGTCCGGAGCTGTACTCGGGCACGTAGGGCGGGTAGGTGGTGATGGGGTGGTGGGCCGACGACGAGGCGCCCCCCAGGGTGGCCATGCTGCCCCGCGCGTGCGACGCCTCCAGCTTCATGCTGTCCGGCAGCGGCACCTGGTACTTGAGGCACTCTTTCTCATCCTGCCGGGCCGAGCCGGCCGAGCCCGGGGTGGACAGCGACGGGTCCGGGGAGACATCCTTCGGCGGCGTGGGCGGAAAGGTGAAGAGGTGCGGGCTGGAGTGGCCCGCCGCCAGGGACGAGGACGAGGCCGGAGGGTACACGGAGAGCGGCCCCGGGGAGCCGTGGTGGATGGACGTCTTGGAGAAGGGGCTGAGGTTCCAGGGCGAAGCGGTGTGGTGGCTTCCCAGGGCTTTGCCGCCGTCCAGCCAGGGCAGGGATCCGTGCAGCAGAGGCGGGCGGCACACCTGGCTCCCTGCACCGCGGTGGCCCAGCGGAAAGGGACGGGAGAGAGAAATGTAGGTGAGAGCAGCCCTCGGACACACCTGAGGACTCTTGCCCTGCAGCCCCAGCACCCACCAGGACCCGGATCAGGCCTGCTCCCTAGCAGTGCCTATGCTCCACTACCTCACCACACACCTTGGGGTCCTGGCAGCCTGTCCAGCCCTCTCTCCCACATCCAGGTCCCACCAAATCCACAGAACTAAGGGCCTGTTCTGTGCCTGACACCACAGAAGCACTGAGAAGGAGTGGAGAAGGGTCCCCGGGCTTATCTGGCCCCTCCAGATACACAGTCTAAATCACATTCCCCAAGGTGCCTCTCTAGAACCTGACTTGATTTATTGGTTTCTTTCAATGGCTCGGAGGTTCCCATCCCAGACTTAATCCCATGCAGCCTGATAAGGGTCAGCTGTGAATGATGCGGCCTGAAAGATGGAGCCTGGCCACACCACGCTCAGCCCCAGGAGAGAACGCCCCACCTTCGGGAGGCCCAGCTCCCAAGGCAGAACGCAAGGCTCCAGAGAGAAGCAAGGAGCGCTGCGGGGTTAGCGCCGAGAAACCAAATTTCAGTGCTTGCTCAGAACTGACAAAGCTGCTTCAAAGAAGCCTGAACTGGGATTGGCAAGAAAATTTTCATTGCTGGAGCAATTGAGATAGAGCTTCCAAGGCTGGAACTTGGGGGTGGGAGTCTCCCCACTTTCCTCACCCTTCCAACTCCCACAGGGGAAGAAAATGTGCTATAAGCCCTCAAAGCTGTGATCCCACCATGGCTAAATGCGAATTTCCACCTGAGCCCCTGCCTGAGACTCACAATTCCACTTTGTGTGTATATTTTACACTGAGGCTGCTGATTCAGGCCAAGTATAACTAGCCTTCCTCTAAAACATACACTTTTAAGGCAGCCACGACGTACATGTCCATAGTCTCTGGGAGGAATCTGTTTTAACTTGAAGTGCAAATCCACACACTCATTGATCTTTGAATACAGTACCTGCCTCACCAGTTAACGCTCTATTCAACCACTGAGAACAATACTGAAACTAAAATCTTGAGAGGAAGGGGAGGGGAGTTGAGGCGGGCTCGAGCTCTCCCAACACCAAGGGTTAAGATTCAGCTCATGCAGGAAGTAGTATAGTAAATAATATTAGGTCTGCACCGAGGCATTGCCACTTAACTGCTGATCTGCACAGAACATGGCAAAGAGCGCCCCATCCGCAAAAAAAAAAACGACCGTTTAAAACCCGGCCACCGAGGGGCGGAGGACTCCTGCTGCTGGAGGGGCTGTGTCCCCGTGCCAAAGCCAGCTTCGAGTAGGGGGACCAGGGCTAGTCCGGGTCTGGCTGGACTGAGAAAACCTCGCAGTTGCTCCTGAATTTGTGCTCCGATTTCTGCTTTAGGGACACATATACAGCTGGAAAGTGTTACAGCTTTTCCCCTAACTACCCTGAGTCGGGTTGCTTCCTTTACCTTCCCAAACTCCCCTAAACCCACGGTGAAGCGGGTAAAAAAGACAACTAGAACGCTCCTTCCTAAAAGGAAACCCTGGCCTAACCAAAGGCCTCCGCAGGAAACTAAGGGGACCGGGTAGGCCGGAGCAGAGAGAGCGCCAGGGCTGCAGCAGGCAGGGAGACGACCTGAAATCAAAGACGCAGGAAAATTTCTGTGCAGCCGGGAAACTAGGACACCTAAAACTCCTCGGATTTAAGACGGTAGTCCTTCCCCTTCCACCGACTCAAGCACCAGAATTCCATTCCGGGCCAAGACTAGGTAAGAAAGCTAAAAAATCAAATGCACGAGCTGCGGGGAAAACTCCAGCAGAGAAGTGGGAATACATAACAGCTCTTGGACTTCTCTGGAAAACGCGCCGGGAGAACAAACTCGGGGTCACCGGCAGAAGCTCCGCTAAGGGGACTGCGAGCTATCAGGGAGAGCAGCCCTGTGGAAGCGCCGAGCCTGAAGCCGGCTGGGTCGGCGCCACTGCCGGCCGGGAGCCTCGGCCGCGGCGGCAGCGCCCGGCGTCCCGCGTCGGGGACCTCCGGGCCCCTCGCCCGGCGGCGGCGCGGGGACGCAGCCTGCATCTCCGCGCGCCAGGTGAGCGCCAGGCCGGGGACCTCGGCCCGGAGGAACGCCTGATGCGACTCTTTTTAAAAACACACTCTCATAGCGAGCGAGACGGCTTCCTCGCCCATTTCCGGGCCCGGTTTTTTTTTCTGTAAATGAGCTAGTAACTTCACCTGGGGGTTTCGCTGGGTCTGCCCAGCCCGAGTCCCTCCCGGCCTCCCGGACCAGGGCCGCGGGCGCGGCGCGGTGCCGCTCCGAGCGGCGCACTCACCGTGGTGGGCCGGCGGGTACCTCTGCACCGTGGCCCGCACCGAGTTGCCGTAGTAGGACGGGACGTGGTTGCCTTGACTGTCGATGTTAAAAAGTACATCCACCTCCTCGGGCAGGGGGTACTGCGCCGGGTCCATGTAGGAGTGGCCGAGGCCGGGGTGGTGCGCGTCCGGGTGCTGCCCGTTGAGGACCGCGGGGTGGTGGTGGCTCACCCAGCGCGGCTGGTCCGCAGTCACCTCCATGTCCTCGGCTGCGCTCGCGCCCTCTCGCCGGGCCCGGAACCCGCGCGCTGGGAGGGAGGGCGGTCGGCCTGGGGGGTCCGCGGGCGCCGGCCGTCGGAGGGCCGGAGGGGCGTTTAATGGCTGGCTTTCAGCGGGGGACGAGGCAGACCGGGAAGGAAAGGTGAGCGAAGGCGGTCTGGGGAGCGAGGGGGATCTTTAAGGGATAGTTTGGCAAAAAAGAAGAGGAAGGGGAAACAAATCCAAAAACTGGGACCAAATTGTAAAAAGAAAAAAAGTGGGGGGCGAGGATGCTGGGATTCTGCAGTGGGGCTCCTCTCGGCACCGGGGCTCCGCAGCGCCCACAGTCACCTGCAAGGACAGAAGGAGAGACCTGGATGAGCCGGTGAACGCTTGAGCACCTGAGTTCTGGAGGCGACCACCGCCCGGGTCGGCCCGCCAGCCCAGCGCACGCGGCAGGACACGCGCGCGGGGACGCCGCCGAGGGGCAGCCGCGCTTCCGAGGACGTCCCGGGACGCGCCGAGCGCTCACGACTGGGGGGCAGGTCCCTCCCTGGGGACCCCAGTCCCGGACCTGCCTTCCAGCCACTAGAAACCGTCCGAAAACAGCAGACCTGCGATTTAACTTTTTAAAAGCCCTCCCGAGCTGGGGAAGGGGAGGGTGGATCAGACTTAGAAAAAGTCACAGTACCAACCTGGGTAGCGAGCAGCGGAGAGGAGGAGGAGGAGGCGTGCGACCTGCTCGCTCAGTCGCGCAGCTCGCTCTGTCTCGCGCGCTCCCCGTCTCTCTCTTTTCCTCTCTCTCCCTCTCTCACTATTTTTTTTTACAGGGAATGCATTCTTTCTGAAAGTATCAGGACGGCGCCAGGCAGCTCAGTGTTCGCAGACAGCTGTGGCGCGACGCAACTTAAGGAGGTTCTAGTGTCATCCGCGCCGAGGGGGAGGAGCCTGGCGCTGGCGAGGAGGGGACAGGATCCCCGGCACAAGGAAACGGCAACCCAAACCCGCTCC